GCCTGCGTTGCTGACGAAGAAGTCGATAGGTTTGTTGCCTAAGAAGGCAGCGGAACCTGGCGCGAAGGCGGCGGCTGAAGCGGGTTTGAAGGCAGGGGAGGGCGAGTCAGAGGCGAAGGCAGCAGAAGGCGGCGATGCGAAGAGCGTGTCTGGGGTCGATGCGAAGGCTGGACCTGTTGCGTCGTCGAAGGCGGGTGCTGGGCCTGCGTTGCTTGCGAAGAAGTCGATGGGCGTGTTGCCTAAGAAGGCAGCGGAACCTGGCGCGAAGGCGGCGGCTGAAGCGGGTTTGAAGGCAGGGGAGGGCGAGTCAGAGGCGAAGGCAGCAGAAGGCGGCGATGCGAAGGCTGGACCTGTTGCGTCGTCGAAGGCGGGTGCTGGGCCTGCGTTGCTTGCGAAGAAGTCGATGGGCGTGTTGCCTAAGAAGGCAGCGGAAGCTGGCGCGAAGGCGGCGGCTGAAGCGGGTTTGAAGGCAGGGGAGGTCGAGTCAGAGGCGAAGGCAGCAGAAGGCGCCGATGCGAAGGCTGGACCTGTTGCATCGTCGAAGGCGGGTGCTGGGCCTGCGTTGCTTGCGAAGAAGTCGATGGGCGTGTTGCCTAAGAAGGCAGCGGAACCTGGCGCGAAGGCGGCGGCTGAAGCGGGTTTGAAGGCAGGGGAGGGCGAGTCAGAGGCGAAGGCAGCAGAAGGCGGCGATGCGAAGAGCGTGTCTGGGGTCGATGCGAAGGCTGGACCTGTTGCGTCGTCGATGGCGGGTGCTGGGCCTGCGTTGCTTGCGAAGAAGTCGATAGGTTTGTTGCCTAAGAAGGCAGCGGAACCTGGCGCGAAGGCGGCGGCTGGAGCGGGTTTGAAGGCAGGGGAGGGCGAGTCAGAGGCGAAGGCAGCAGAAGGCGGCGATGCGAAGAGCGTGTCTGGGGTCGATGCGAAGGCTGGACCTGTTGCGTCGTCGAAGGCGGGTCCTGGGCTTGCGTTGCTGGCTACGAAGGCTCGCGGCGTTCCCTTAGCGAAAAGCGCTGCTGGCGGTTTGGGGAAGGATGAGATCAGTGAGAGGTCAGCCTCAAAACAAAAGGTGTTGAAAGGCGATTCTAGTTTTGTTTTATCCAACGGCATTGAGTCTGAGGAGCAGGCACGCTTGTCCTATGGTGAGAACTAGTGGTGGTGAGCAGTTCGGAGGTTTATCGTCTGATTGCTCCAGGTGTAGAAAGCATTGCTTCCTCTCAAATTGTCTGCTAATGCAATGCTAAGTAGCTTCAAAATATAGACGAAATCGGACGTTCTTTCCGCTGATTGATTGGGCCTCGCGCAGGTCGTTCGACAATCGTCAACAAGCAGGACAACGCGCTTGAACAGCAGCAAAATAGAGAAATGGTTCACCCAATGCATGAAACAGTGCTTGGACCACCGGCCTCACTAGCTGGCGAGGCCGCAGCGCCAGACCAACTGGACAGTAAAACAACATCGACTCCAAAACATGCAACAAACACACCAATAACGCCACTTGGTCTCCAACAAGCTGACAATTCCTTCCCAAACAAACAAAACACACAATTCTCGACGGACGTAGTCCCACATCAAACCCTGCCAAGACATACGTTACCTGAGACGACACTGGAGACCGAAAGCAAGCCGGAAGCAAAGGCCCCTTTAACACCAAAGGAGCGCGAGTCAGAGGCGAAGGCAGCAGAAGGCGGCGATGCGAAGAGCGTGTCTGGGGTCGATGCGAAGGCTGGACCTGTTGCGTCGTCGACGGCGCGTGCTGGGCCTGCGTTGCTTGCGAAGAAGTCGATGGGCGTGCTGCCTAAGAAGGCAGCGGAACCTGGCGC